AACCGCAGGCCTTTACCCCTACCTGCCGATAGGGAGGGAACACGTCACAAATGTAACACACACACTCGCACTAACACTGTGGCACACATCCACTTTCACAGTCCCCCTTCGTCACCAACGCTGCACAGCCTAGTCTTTTCCCACCGTCCACTCCCATCCAACACACCCCCTCCCCAACCCCCACTCTTATTTTTTTTTTCAACTTTCTCCACCCTCGTAAAAGGTTGCCAGGCAGCAGAGAAAGATTTCACACACACATACACCCCACTATGCCTCTGAGGGTTTTCCGGATGTCCTTGTTTACATCATGGAGTGTGCAGGTCGTAGGGAAGCAAACTCAGAGCCTGCCTGACTGTGTCTGTCCACTGGGACATGTGAACTCCATCACTATCTTCAACTTTTACACTCTTAGCTGAATACAAATTTTCTGACGTCATTAAAAAGATCAAATGTTACCACATGTCAACTTGATCCAAGCCCTATGAGCCTTCTGAAGTCCTGCCTGCTCTCTGCTGTGCCAGTGATTACTGCAGTAGTTAATGCCTTTTTAGAATCTGGTGAGGTTCTTCCATTCATTAAAAAAAATTGTTATACTTGTTACCATTGCTAACTCTGAGAGACGAGACAGTCCAAGTAACTTCAAAACAGTGCTGATTTATTCAAAGGATCACAGGTAAAATTAACATTACACGCTCAGGTATCTTGCACCTCCAAACTGCTTGCAGGCAGATGTAAGATGAAAGACCCTGTACCCACCAGGCCTATACATTATATCGCCTCGCTTGGGCTAGCCCCATACTACACAGAAACGTCAACCGAGACGTCTCTGTTGCCAGCTTTGCAGCTGGCCATAGCAGTAGTCAAAACATGAAGCAAATCAATGTGTGTGTGTCTGTTGATTAAGTGGTGTGTAGCTAAAGACATTCTCACACGACCTCTAGTAACATGTCGTGATATTAAACATAAGAACATATTATGGCTAAGGCTACAGTTATACACGTCATAATAATAATATTAAACATCCTGTCTGCTGACAGTCATCAACTTTTCTCTCTAGTTATCCTCTAGGGAAGCTAACTCAGAGCCTGCCTGAGTGTGTCTGTCCAAGTCTTACACTGACCTCCATTCATTTGGTATCAGTGCAAATGTTCATGGTAGCCCTGCAGTTGGGTCTAAATTTCAAAATCAGTTAAAAATTCAGATTTTTTTTTCTTGAATTTTCTTCTTTCAGGTTAAGAATCATTGACAGTCAAACTAGTTCCTTTAGAGTTGAACTAAATATAAAGTTAGTAAGACACTGATATACTAACTGCTGCCAGTTGTAATATTGGCTGTTACTGATGTGCAGACTGTTACTAGACTGTCTTTTCCCTCTGTGTGCCACACCGATCGATTGGTTTTGCCTGCTCCTGCCTTTAACTTTGATGTTAACATTGATTGTTCTCATCTGCCCCTGAACTCAAAGGTTAGAGGAGCCGAGCTGCACTTCTGGATTGCTTTGACCTTTGCTCTGCACATGCTCAGTGGGTTCACAGAGCCCAGAGCCAAACAGACATGATGTAGCCAGGCCCGTGGGTGTGTGACAACCAGACAACAGTGTGATGTCTTTTTTTTTTTTTTAACTCACCCACTGAGGATGATGTATATGTGATTGATTTTCTCCTACTCCTCCCGCTGCCGTGTTTCCGCTGCAGTGCACTAAGCAGGACTGAGTCCAGGCTTGATCAATGCATTGTTTTTCTTTTTCAATCACACTCGAATGAGCTGAAGACACGAAAGGTTACACAGGTGAGCTTTGGCAGGGGTGGAAGCAGAGCAGAGCTTCTGAAGGCCCCCTCAAGGCCAAGATATGAGTTTGCATAGATGTTTTTGCTTGTTTGAGAGAGCAAGAGTTACACACATTTATCATGTATTTTGTTAAAAACCTGTCAGTTCTTGTCGTTGTGTCACAAGGGTTAGTTTATGCTCGTTCGTCTTGTCTTTTCTCCAAGTGGGATTCTTCAATCCTTGCCTCTGTAAGTCCTGTGTAACCTTACCTTTACCATCTTACATTAAATTATAGGTCCTTCACAGTGTCTCAGTGCTCACCTGCCCCAGATAATCTGCTGGGCTGCATGAAGAGTGCTCCTTTTGTTTCCTCTACTTGCCTGACAAACATTCAGCTGGCACACACGCACAAAAGCCTGGTACCAGCTCAACTCAACTTGACTCTGTTTGCCTTATTTGTTTTTCCATCAGTCAAATGTTGGGGATAGTACCAGGTACTATTTTTGGCAACACCTCCTTTGAGGTCTCCAGCAAGCTGAGGCGATGCCAAACGGTGACGTGTAAACACTGTAGGCTACCCATTGGTGAGAGAAATTCATCACTACTGCGCGGCCTTCTTGCCACCAATGAACCCGGATGTTTACATGTGATAACACCAGTCTTCTTGTTCTTCATTCATTCATATTGTAATAGTAGCTGCCACTTCTCTCTCACAAGTGTTATAGAGGGTCAAATTTATGGTGACAGAGGCTTTGAGCCACTCTTAACTGTATAATATAACTGTTATATTGTACCACCATATCGTACATCTTATCACATAGCCCATGTAGGTTACTGAATGTGATAATATGAGCACTTTGGCTGCAGCTGTGCCTGCTAAGTAGAGCTAGCTGGCATGTTAGCAGGTCATCACATCTCCAAAAACGTTGGTGCAAATTTGTAATTGCCATTTCTTGGATAGATTGATCACATATTCAAAAACTAAATGGTTATGTGATCTCCCGAAAACTTTCAGAACCTAATAAAATGGCATAGTAACAGTGCTATGATGAAAATGATATTTTTGCGCCTGCCCTGCCACCATGAACCAGTGACTTCATGGCAGTTTTGGTGTCAACCAGCTACACTGCAGGAGAACAATCTGCAGTGGCAAGCAAAGCACCTGGTACCAAAAGCAGGTAGAGTTGAGTAGAGCAGAATGGAGATGAGCTGGTACCAGACGGTGGAAAAGGGGCCAACAGAAAAGAGACCTCTGACCTGTTAGCCACCATGGCAGGACCACAACACTTCAAGTCAGACTTAAACATCAGTGATATTAAAAACGTTTTGCAGTTCAGGTGTTTCAAGGCTCGTAACAACAGCATGAAGCAGAAGGAGGAAGTAGTTTACCCTAAAGGCGCAAAGAGTGTTGCCTACAGCTGAGTTATCTCTTAGTAATGATGCTGTTAAAGCCTGTATGAAAACACCTAGTCATTAAAAAAGAGATAAGTATCTGTGGGAGTGAAATGGCTTCCCTGAAGTTGGATGTCTGGAGGGGCTAAGGATGTGGCTGGCAGGGCAGGTTTAGAGGGCTGGGGTGGTGTGAGAGCACAGGCTTTGACCAGTGGGTTTCAGATGTCATGGCAGATTCTTTCAAGAGCAAATTACAGGGTTTAACTTCTCTTGTGTCTGGGCTGCCTGTATTCTGATTTAACTTCCTCGATAGACACTCAACCAACATGCTACTCAACACCATTGTTGGGTGCACACTTGACTCTGGAGCTCCTTCACCTCCTCTCACGCTCTCAACACCTCTTCAAGACTTTGTTCTTGGAGTGCTATTGGTGGCCTTTATCGCTGCTTCTGGAGAGAGCAGAGCAGTCTAGCTGTATTAGTTAGTGTGTTGGTGTCAGGAGGCTTTACATGAGTGGCCCTCATTAACCTCTTTGTGCTTTGACTTGGCACAGAGCTGCTCCACACATAAGCTTTACTATCAAACAGCTACAAGATTTGATGCTAATGACTGATGGTATTAGCTGAATATAATCTTATTTTTTACAAACAGTAAAGCAGTCAACACACAAGCAAACACATTCTGCACATACGTTCTCCTTCCATCCATCCATTATCTATACCACTTATTCCCGAATAGGGTCACGGGGGCACTGGAGCCAGTCCCAACAGACATTGGGTGAGAGGTGGGGTCCACCCTGGACAGGTCGCCAGTCTGTCACAGGGCTGACATGTAGACAGATAACCACGCACACTCACTCCTATAGGCAATTTAGAGTCACCAGTCAACCTAAGCTGCATGTCTTTGGGAGGAAGCTGGAGCACCCGGAGAGAACCCACACAGGCACAGGGAGAACATGCAGGACTCCACACAGACAGGCCCCAGGTCAGCCTGGGCTCAAACCTGGAACCTTCTTGCTGTAAGGCGACAGCGCTAACTACCGCACCACTGTTTTCCCCATGCACATGCTCTCGTACCTTGTAACTGCATGCTGTTTGGTCCCCTACCTCACATGCTCTCACACACACATTTCCTGTGAGCTGTAACAGACCCTAAAGCTCTCTGAAGCATTTAGCAGCCCGCTAGCAGGTTTACTCCACGCTGCCAGTGCTAAGGGGAGTACTGAAGCATCTAATGCAATTTCAACCCAACATGGCTCTCTGTGAATAAACATCACTGAGGTGTACCATCTACTGTGTGTTGATCCACTGTAGTGCTTTCTGTTTCCTCCATACGGGCTGATCTAATACTCTCTCTCCCCTTCTCTGTCTCACACTCTGATTTCTGTAGAGACTGCATTTGCCTCCAGACTTGTCTGAGACGGTGAGTCGTGTGAGCAGGGGGGAGCCGGCGGGAGCGCTTCAGCCTGTGGCTCGGGTGCATCCGGAAACAAACACCTGGACTTCTAGAACTCCCACACAGTCGCCATGGGCAACCAGCACCTGGAACGCTGAAGCGTTGTCCTCTTTACCGTGGTGACCAGGATGTTCCCTCGCCCACATAATGTCAACCATGATAACCCTGCCAGCCATTACCACCTGACAACTGGCCCAGCCAGGGGTGACGATCTAAACACCCTCTTCTCATGGCAGACACATTTCATATTATATCTCAAGTCCTTTTTCGTATATAAACATACAGCGCTCTCAGGGCAGTTTTTTCCTACTCTGACAGCTGATATTTATACATTTCATGCTGCCATGAGATGTTCATTGACTTATTATATTGGTTGGGTTTTTATACACAGGGAGGCATTGTTTTTGTTATTGCTTTTTATTTGCCTCTGGGTTTTTCATTTACTTGTAAGGTGTAATCATGAGACATGTTTTAGTCTTTACACAATCTCACACTTGGCAAACATGAAATAATGGAAGTGGCTTTTGTTACTCTACATAAAAAGTGACTACTTCTGCCTAGCTCCACCATGTGCAGTGCTTTTGGTTTATGGATGGAATATACTTGCGATTAGATAAATAAAAGAAATGGTATACAAAGTACACAAACACATTCTCTTAATTCAAATTCTACTTTGCTGTGTTTCAGCACCAGCTCTGAAAGAAGAGTTGCCTATCTCTGAGACTCTGAGAGGATGAGTGTGTTATGAATGACTGATCTGTGGTCTTCCTCACTGGTTTCAGGTTCACACAGGGATCCCTCCATCTGACCTCGACACTGTGCCCGTGAGTGACGTGTACCTCCAGTAAGCTGGAGAGCTGAGCGTGAATGTGGGCAGAGGGTAGGAGAGCTGGCTTTGGGTGCAGGCTTCACAGCTCATCAGGCATGTTTGCTGGATGAGCTGCTTTACCATGACAAGCCCAAAAGAACAAATTAGGTCAAATGGTGACATGGAGAAAGAGAGAAAAAACAATATGAAAAATTAAATGTTTCATTTTTGTTTTCCTCAGTCTGCTGTTGATGCCAGTTTGAATATCTTTGCCTGTAAAAACTGGCAGGATTGGTAACCATCTGCAGCATGTTGGGAGAGGGTAGCGTTACCTGACAGTTTCGTGCATGGATGGAGTGCTCTCATACTGGGTGAATGAGAGCGAGCAGGAGATAACACAGGTCACTTATACAGGTGAACAAAAGCTTATGTTGTCAAGATAATACAAGTTATTGTTGCTGAAGAGCTGACTTTTGTTGTACACTTTTAAAGTAGATTAAAACTGAATACATTTATTATGGCATTTGTTTATCACGTGTCTTTTTTTTTTGTCTTACACTTGCCCTGTCTCCATGTCACCATAGTCCTGATTCACTTTTGTCCAGATAGTTCAGAAAGTGAATTTTTTTTTTACCTTAGTTTAAAATGTCTAATTTTTTTTCTATGCACTTCATAAAGAATAAACATTCTCACATTTTTATATCAGGTACGAGTTCATTTAGTGAATTGATGCCAGTTTCAGTATTCACATTGGACCAAGCTTAATCTTTATGCACATTCAGTTCACATTTATAAATGTATATGTGCAGATTTTTAACATTAAATTAAACGGCATTTAAATTTTTATTTCCTATAGCTGACCAACAGTGGATTTTTTTGTGTCCTCCCCCGAGATAAAGATGGTTGTACCTAGTTGCACAATACATCGGGTTATGATCAGCCACACATACTTATGTATGAGTAAGTATGAGTAAGTACTTTAGGGTACCGGGAAATGTAATAATTTAAACTTCAGAGGACAACAGAGAAAACAGTGTTAATCCCTAGTTGTTGTTTTTTTTGTTTTTTTTTACATGACCACATGTGACTCTTCACATGCCTTAATTCACCTCACCCAGAGTATGAATCAGTACACTGTCCACAGGACAGTCTAGACCTTTTGTCAACTTCCTGTTTCTCATTGCTCAGTTATAAGTAGTTGTTCATAACATGTTCATGGCTTTTGAGTTTTTTAACATTGAACCTGAGGCAAAAGCATGTTGTTATTACATATGATGCATTTTTTTTTTGTTAAATATATCGAATAATAACACACAAGGACACACAGGGCCCATTATACCAGTTATATCTTAAACTCTCAATTGGCCTTTTAGCAAAAAAAAACAACAAAAAAAAAAGAGAGAATGTGCAAAGATTCTTCTATAATTGTATCATGTGGCAGCTGCAGCTCATATCCTGTTGGTTCCGAACCAAACCCATAGTTATTTTTCTACCTGACATCTTTTGGGTCCCGTTATTCAGTGGCTGTCTTAGCACTATTAAAGTCAAAGTATTAAGGACAGTGCATTTTTATCCCACTTTTTATAAGTGCTGGTTTCATTAAGCAGACCAAACTTTCAGATTTGTCCCCACACAAGCTACTATATACTGAACCTCGACTGGCAAGGAAAATGTCTGCACATACAGTAACACATGTACTGTACACACAGCACAGACTTTAACTGCTGACAGTAAATAGGAGTGTATCGGCTGCTGTTCTGTTCAGAGTCAGATTTCCAGCTCAGAATTAGTGGCTCGTTAAGAGACGCTCTCAAAGCTCTCAGAAGCCTTTACAGAGACGGACATGGCCTGACTTTCTTCACAGAGAGAATTACATATAAACCTTTTTACCCCAAAGCTGTGTATTATTTAGACTAATTGCAATCCTACTTGCATTTTGAATTGATCTTTCATTCTCTCTTTGTAATTATTAATGTTCCTCCTTGGTGTTGGCGCAGTCACCAGACCTGTTCTCCAAATAGTATCCCTCCCTCTGTTTAATAACTTGGATTAAATGAAAATTGAAATTGTGCTATGGCTAAAAAACAATCCTCTTGAAAATCTAATTAACCTCAAATCCTCAACATTCTGATTGGACTATTCAATTTTGAGTGAGACGTAAATTCAGTTAATCAATTTAGTGAGGCATTTGGTGTTGTTCCATACTGTGTGAATGTTACCTGACCTCACTCTCTCCTGGATACCCTTTCCTTTAGATACACTCTCACTCTCTCTAACAACACCCCTTCGAAACTGCACACACACACACTCACACAAACCCCCCTGCTGAGGCAGCAAGTGAAGCAAAATAACTCACTCTGCCACACAATCGCTCCTCTGCCTCGCTCTAGGCACTGACTGCTTTATTCCATGGTTTTTTCCACTCTTCTCTGTGCCCTCCTCCTCTTCATTGGCTCTGTTTTGTTCATACCATCGTAACTCTACTAAAACAAGAGCTACTGATGGTGAATTGCTTGACCTTTCTCATTGTGCGGTGGTGTTGTGCTGTGTGGTCTGTGCCGGCTTGGTTCAGCCCCATACATCAAGAGTGGTTTGTTATTTTGGACACCTTGGTTTGGTGGGAATTGGAAGTATTGTATGTGTATTATAAGGTGCTGTTTTGGCATGTCAGTCTAACATATACAAAAGTAAGTTTAAAATTGCAGCAGTGAAAATTAAGAAGGGTTTTTTTTCATTGAACAGGCACAAAGGCTTTCTTTAAGACACAATTTTACTGTACAAAATGTTTTATAGTTTTCACAAAATACATTTAGAAAGCTCCATTTTAAATAAAATTAAATTGAAATATTTAAGAGAGCGTGTAGACGTTTTATCTCAGAAGCATTGCTCAGACATAAACCCAGTATGTGTCCATGTTCTACGTACACACTGAAATAAAAATGCAAAACTCAAACGAGCATGACAGATGATGCTAGAAAAACCCTCCCATGGTCTTCATTTATAAATAAGGACTGCAGTCTTACAAACTCGAAGCCAATGTAATTGAACAGAACGTGTTTACAAAATTTTGCAACACAAGACTAAAATCTTAAAAAGTAAATTGTGTACTAGATGAAATACAAAGGCTTTGGTTTGTTTTACAATCAACAGTGATTAAATCTGATATGTACTTGTAAACAACTGCCAAACACTTAAGTTTAAAACTCTGTCAAGCAATGTTTAATCATAATTATAGGAATTAAATATTTCTAGCTGCACAAATTTGACCATAGGACACTATAATACAACTATAGCTAAGAGACAAATTGTACCTGACCCTAAAGAAATGTATTTTATGATGCATGGAACATTTATAGAATATTCTCGGGGATATAAATGAAATCAACTTTTATTGGAGAAATCTTTCTGGAAGATTTCTAGGGAAGACAAGTACTTTACATTTTGACATTAACAAACTGGATTATATCGAAGACGCAGTCTACCATTTACAGACTACAGGTTTTCTTTTACACCTGTTTTCCACATTTAATGTTCTTCATGGTAACCTAGAGTCAATCCAGCCACCAAAGCAAGAGGTCCAAGTTGGGTTGTGGGTCACACTGTCTTTGAGCTGTTGATAGTGGTCCGTGTCTAATAAGCCAGCAGGCACAGGTCCGTGTCAGATGAGTCAAGACTGTGGCTTCAGTGATTGGATCGAGTTTGAGTTTCGTCTGCTAAATAAGACCAATAAATAGTTTTTTTTTCTGACACAGTTAAGAGTCTTCCCTCCAGCTTTTCGTCTTAAATGATATGCAACAGCGTCCAGAGACCATGCAAAGGCTGGTAGAAAGTCTCGATATAAGCGGATTAGAAGATAGTCTTGGCAGAATCTCTCGGGTTCTCCTCTGTGAAACAAACCCCGAACATGGTTTTCTAGCAGTCCATCTATCAGTACTTGATCTTGGTTTTTCATATTAACATACAAATGGCCATTTACTAACACACCAGAGAAAAAAGGAAACAATGGCTGAATTTGGAAATAGAAAAAAAAAACTGAAGTTTTTGTTCCATAAAAATTTAACACCGGGCACTTTACAGAGGTCCATTTATTTCTGTCTTTCCATCATTGTTCTTGCTTCCAAGTCCTCGTTTGAATGTGCTTAGAGCTACAGAATAGCACAGAGTCCCACTGGAAAAACAAAGCCCAGACGTCCCAGGGCTCCCCCAGTCACTTGTCCTCGTTCTTTTCTCCTCATCTTCTGTCCTTTGCCTCTTCTCAACCCTCTCCCGCCTTCTCTACTCTCCTGTGCCATGTATGTGTAAGGAGCACTGCCGGAGGGCGATAGTGGAGTGGTTGATTACAGGGTGAAGTAGCTCTTCTCTCTACTGTAGTCTTGACCAGTACTGGGACATGTCAGGCTCACTTCCTGGGACTTGGACAGGGACAGACACTCCAGGAGAGATGAGTCCTACAGAGTGAAAAAGCGAAAGACATCAGTAAAGAGCCAACATGATAAATTACTGAGTGAGTGGATGCACCATGCACAGCTAGTGTGGCAGCTAACACTAGTTAGCCTTATAGCACAGCATTGTGCTTTTAAAGCTTGCAAATAGGCAGATGAGCAGTGGAGCTGCAATGAGTCACAAAGCTCTGCACATGGTTGCTCAGTAAAACGCTTGCAAGCTCAATAAATTGAGGCTTTGGCGATGGCATTTAAACAGAGTACAACAGCAAATGAATCAAATTAATTAGCAATTTAGCACAGAGGAAATGTGGTTATGCATGATTAACTCTTCATGACTATAACTAGTATATATGGCTGTCACTAACAGCATCCTAATGGGGTGGAACTAAACTATGGGCTGGAATAGGTGGATTGACATGATGGCATAGAGCAGCAATGAAATGAGCTTTGTTCATGCAGCTGCAGAAGGAAAATGATATGAAATGTAGAGATATTAAACCGCAGATGTTTAAACCATTTCTTAAGTGAACAGAAAGGAGCCACTGCGACAGACCATGAATCAGAAATGGCTATGTAGTACCCCCATAATTACAGGAAGGGTGGCAGATATTTGAGAGAGTGCGCTGTTTAATTCCCAAGCTGTTGGTAAACAATGAACTTTCTGCCTACCTACCTGTTGAGGTGGTACCAGAAGTGGTCATTGATTGGCTGTTCATATGTGCCTGCATATGAGGGGGCGTGTATGTTTCGTAGCTCCGCCCATTCACAGGCGGACTGGTAGGCAGCATGCAGGAATAAGAGGAGGTCTGGCTGGGCTACAGACGGGGAGAGAATGTTACATTAGCTTAGCCATCCATAGGTTTCAGTTCAGTAGTCTGTAATACTGTAAACTTCATAGGCACATGTGTCTGTAGATGTGATTTTATTCCATGTTTGTCAGAAACCCATTCTGAAGGAGTGTTTGTTTGGCCCGGGAGCTATTTAAATCACTCATGGTGTGTTTGATTCCACTCTTACAATCATATCAATTAGCAGAAGATATTCACATCTTTCAGCATTTTCACTTTGTGTGATTGTCTTTTACTTACTTGCATAGGTAGATTGTTTGCCATGGTGAAGCTGGGCATGGGGGGCAGCGCACTGTAGGTGTTTGTGAGTGCAGAGTCAGGTCTACCCAGCATTGACCCCGAGGTGAAAGACACTGTCAATGGAAAATTTGGTTAAAACCAGCTGAAATAACACACAGTCCTCCAGTGTGAGAGAACGGCTCCATGGCGTTAAGTAGCTACTGCGTGCGTGAAGTGACGCTTTATTGGACAGGCTGATGGGCCCGGACAGATACTGTACAGTGTGCATCTCAGGTGATTGACTTGTGAGCATGAGCTT